CCCCCCCGCCGAGCACCAAGCGCGAGTGTGTGTGTGTGTGTGTGTGAGTGTGTGCCGTGTGCCAGTACGGACTCAGTCACTACTTTGGCCCGTCAGTCGCAGACCTCGCGCGAACTGCAATTTGCGCCAATTTGTAGCAACAAGGTTGGGAAAGGGGGGGGGGGAGGGGTCGCCAAACTCCCCGTCGTGTCGTTCAGGCTGGCTTCAGATCCCCGCCCCGCCCCCACTATTCGGCAAGCGGTCCGGTCTCTGTGATTGTGAAGTAGTGCCAGTGGCATTCGTTTCGATTTAGAGTTCTCCCAATTCGCCCCCGCCAGCCGCCCGGGTCGCACTTTTCGGCACGAAGAGAGGAGGGAAACAGCGAGACACGGAGAAGGGAACAAGAAAAGAGGAGGGAGGCGGAGGCGGGAGGCAAAATCGAAAAATAGGGCGGCGGCGGGTCTATCTTCTCTTCCGCTCGCTGCCGCCCCGACGGACGCTGTAGCAACAAGTGCTGACCGCGCCTCGTGATTAAGTGCCGCCAGTGACATGCAACCTGACGCCCCCACCCCTCTCCCCCTCCCCAATCTTGCAAACGTATCGAGTGTCGGAGCGCGTGCGAAAATTATGAAACAGCCTGTTGTGTGTGTTGTGTACCGCCACCGCTAGGCAAGGCACTGCGCGTGGAGGACGCGCTAAGCTGATCTGTTCGTGTGTTTCATCCACCGTTTCAAAATTAGCCACCGGGCCGTTCGAGGGACCGTATGCGTTTTAAAAAAAAAGGCAAACGAAAAATAGAATTTGCGTTTTTTATCGCGAAATATATCTTTTGCAAGCTGCCATGAATGCCATGAATGCTAATAAATAACAGCTAGTGTGCTAGCTGGTATATTAGGGATCGTCCAGAAAGTACGTTCGTTTTCCTCTGATTCATTCCGCAAATTATGGGAGCTCGGTGGCTGCGAGGCGCAGGGTAGGCCACCCCGCAGTGCGCGCACGCATTGCAGGCAAGATATTGCCTACCCAGTAGGCGTTATGAGAGCCTGCTCTGAGGCTGAACTTGGCAGGTTCGTGTTGGTGAATGACGAACGTACTAACTGCATAATCCCCAATTCGTTAATAACCGTTGATTAATGCAATGCTGAGAAATTCATTGCAACATGTTGAAATTTATTGGTGGGTATTCTAAAAAGGGAGCAGCGCATGGGGTACCTTGTATGTACCGTGGACGCGATGGTATTCTGACCTTAAGCCTTTAAGCCCTCAGAAATGTGGGGAAACTATTGCGTACTCGACGTGTCAGCAGGTCTGGAAACAGTATGTAAACTGTGTTCCATTCAGAAGGAAACACTGCTGGTCGTGGAAAGTTCTCCTTCGGTCGGCGAGTCCCTCGGCGTGCGCGGTGCGTGTGCGTGGATTGTGGTCCCCCACCCCCTCTGCCAGCGCTCTCCGACGCCTTTCTGCCCTTGTCCGACCTCCCCGCCCCCTTCTTTCTCTGTCTCTCATGCGGAGCGTGCAAGCGGGTCCCTCGGCGTCTAGTAATTAATCTGAAAATTTAGCTCGACAAAGTGTGCGTGCCCTTTTGCGAATGTGAGGGGTGAGGGGGTAAAGGGGGAGGGGTGAATTGGGCGAGAGACTGGCTGACTGGTACTATGTTGTTCTTTACTGCCTCCAGCAGGAGTCGTGAGGACAAGTCTTTCTTTTAAACGACGCGATGTTTATATGGCTCGCGAAGAGGAGAGAGGAGGGGGACAAAGCGAAAAGTGGCAGCGCACCCTGCTGCGCCCGTACAATATTTTTGGGGCGTTTATACTGTCGTTATCCATCTGGGCACCTCTGTGCCACTACCCCGCATGATCCTCGCGCCCACACAGTCACCAGACAGAGTCACGCACACGCTCTCACACACACTCTCACTCACACACATTATCGCAAATCGAGGGAGCGCCGCGGAGCGAGGTGACCTTCGGGACTATCGACCGTCACACGAGCGAGTCGTGAGTAAAATACAAGGCGGCCCCGGCGGCGGCATGCGCGGGTGGCGCGGCTCGGTACCCCAGACCCATAAATAAGGGAAAATACCTGACGCGCGAGGAGGAAATTTTCACTCCTGGAGAGGCGCCGTGATATTATAATAGAATCGAGGAATGCGCTGCCGGGGAAGCGGCTCGACAAAACGCGCGGGGTGAGGCTCGGGATAGAGTGCAGGCGCGCAGAGCAGAACGCCCGGCCCGGCATCACGAACACGAGCCGTAACAATCATCGGCTAATGGCAAAAGCGGGGGGCCAGGATAGAGCGCAGAGAAACTTTTTAACCGCGCCAATAAAATGAATTTCCCCTACAAAACACTTCGCTTATGAAATTCCTCCAAAATGCGCCATTGCCCGTACACCGCTCCCATTACAATGGGCGGCCGTCGTGTACCGCACTCCTCCCCGTAGCTACCGCCTGCCCCGCCCCGCCCCGCCACCTCGTAAACTCGGCGAGTCATGCGCTGCAGTCTGCAACTCCACCGCCCGCCCCACTCCAAACCACCAGCGGCGTTATATGCTGCGACCTTCTGAGGAGCAGAGAAGCCTTTTCTCACCCCACCCCACCTCTACCCCAGCAACCCCCGACACCCCACCTGACCCCGCCACTACTTCCAAACTCACCCCGCGAGCAAACAGCCCGGGCCGCGCCATTACACTACCCCACCCCACCCCGCCCCACTGTTAAACGCCCCGCCGCTGCCGCACCGACCCCATCAGCGCGTACAACACGTTAGGTAGCCCCGCCACCGCACTCCTCGAAGAATCACCGTCAAAAAAATGAAATGCTTCGCCGAACTCGTTATTCACTGCAGGCACTCCGACGCGAGAGAGAGATAGAGAAAAAAAGAAGGGTGGAGAGGGAGAGCGAGGGGGAGAGTTATAAACCGTCTCTCTTTCACTTCACCTCCACGACCGCCCTCTCCGCCTGCAAGTCCAACCTCAACCCGCGCACGGAAAGGGAAGGTATAGAGAGTCCTTTTATGGCCCTCTGCCCCTGCCCGCCCGTCCCCGTGCCCCAACCCTCAGTCCCGCCCGCCCCACCCCCCCCCGCCCTGCCCGCCCTTCGGTTCTCCTGATATCGGTACGGCAGACCATTTATCAGGCCGCGGTGGCCATGCATCATTTATCGTCGTGTTTTTCCGTAAGCCCCGCGAACAATCCACATGCGGCCCCGACCGCGCCGCGCACCGCGGAACACCACGAGACACGTGTCCGTCCTACTCGTGGGACAAAACTGTCCGCGCGCCGTAACCGGAAAGCAACAAAAACGAAAACAATTAAAAATAAACAAAAACGAAACGACTTACATGGAACAAAACAGCTTGTAAGTGGTTGCTTGCTTTGAAGCGACCGAAAAACGCGAAAACGTGGCCCCCGCTGCGCTAAAGCAGCTGAAAGACACTCACTGTACGGGAAAGCCGCTTCAGCTAATTCTCGGCAGTGCTCGCTCGCTCGCTTCTCTCTCTCTCTCTCTCTCTCTCTCTCTCTCTCTCTCTCTCTCTCTCATTCCCTCTCACACACTCCTTCCTTCCTTCCTGCCTTGACTTTGCCCCCTGGAGGGAGATACAGATGACGCCGCGAACTGAAAGAGAAGTCACTACTAAATAATGCACACGGCTCACTAGCAGCCGGGCCGGGGCCGGGCCGGGGTACACGGGCCCCTGGGAGGTAGACTCTCCTGTTAAACACAAGGGTTCTGCGGGCCGGCCCACCTCCCTGGCGCTAGCAGCGCCAGCAGCAGTGAGACTGGGCTGGGCAGGATCGGGGCCAGACTCGAGTGCACCGAGCGCGCGCGCGAGTGTGTGTGTGTGTGAGAGAGAGAGAGATAGAAAGAGAGAAATAGAGAGAGAGAGAGAGAGTGAGACGGAGCGGAGGCCGGGCGAGGGGCGAGGACTAGAGTGTGACGTCGACGCTCTGTTGACACTAGTGCTTCTATCTGAAGCAAGCCATCCCGGGGAGAAGCTCGGTCCCTCCTCGGAGCCAGTAGTGGAGGGGGCAAGGAAAAGGTTTTCAGCTACGAGATAAAAATCCCCCTCCCGATAAATAATAGCGGTACAGCGCGAACCACTGCATGGTAATGATCGCGTGCTGCACCGCTCCGCTCCTCGGGAGGCACTCGGAGGTAGGCACAACCGAGCTAAAATAAAAAAGAAGAAAAATAGCAGCACACTTCACGACCACTCGGATGACTAATGGAGGCTCCTCGACCAAACTAATTTCTTCATGAATAAAGACAGTTGTTAAAAATTGAAAACGGCTGTTCTAGCTTCAACTTTTCTTACGTTAGTTTTTATCAATTGTGTGTGTTTTGATTTGTCCCTCCTATCGTTAGTACCATCATTTCAAAAGTATGATTGTTTGGTTTTGGGTTGTTTGTTTGTACCCCGAATTATTTTTACGGTAGAATGTGTTGCTTTATATGACGGTGTGAGGATATATTAAGTGCTTCAACATCGTGTAAAAATTATAATACAAAATCGTGTGATTTATAAAAGGTAACATCCATAACAACAAAAGTTACATGTAGTAGGAGTAGCAGCGGTACTCTTGGCAGCCTTGGGCAAGAATCCGTGTTTCAATCAGGGGAAGCAGCATAGCTACCGGGGCGGGGGCGGGGCAGGAGCGGCCGGGGCGTGCTTGCCACAACCGTGTAGTTACATAGAGTTTGGTCGGGGGAGCGGAAGGGGCGGGGAGGGCAGAGCTGGGTCGTCCTCGCGGAGGGCGTGGCGGGGCGTGGCGGTGAAGACGCGAGCCGTCTCCGTGGCGCTGTCAGAGACTAGGACGTGTCGGGAATGGTGCTAGCGGCCGCAACCCCGCCCCGCCCCCTCACTACACGTCTCCGGGCCGGCGGGGGGCAACGCCAGAGGCGTCCCTATTGATGGTGGTGACGTGGGCGCGGGTGACAATAGGAGTGACGATCACGGTGAAGCTTCATCCCTTGTCGCCCCGTAAAGACAATAACAAACAATGACAGCGGAACCTCGGTCTACCAACAAAGGCCAATGGCATTAAAAGTGCCATTGGCCTGCGGCGTAAATAATTTCAGTGCCGATGGTGATTCCTCTTTATTGATTGCAATTGAGTGATCTGCACATTCATTGGTGTTGGGACTTCAGCGGACCCACCGGCCAACCGGCAGCACCATCATTCTCACGGGAAAAATATGGCGGTGCAAATAAGAAAGAAAAAGGGTGAGAGACAGAGAAAGGAGAGAGAAAGAGAAGGGGGTGGAGCTAGAGTTAAGAGAAAGTGGAGTAGAGCTCGTGGGAATGGGAGATGTATGGTCGAGATGCAAGCCGCCATACTGATGCAACGGTGCGCCAAAGTTGACAAACCAAACAAGCAAAAAACAAAAAAAAACAACAAAAACGCGGGAAAAGTTTAAGATAACCTGGCGGGCGAGGAGGCAAGGCAAGGCACAGAGGGGAGGGAATGCGAGGTAGGGAGAGGGGATTTGCGAGATATATCGGTAAAGAGAGGACTTCGATGCCTCGGTGATGGCAGTGAATGGCTGGCTGATTGCACAATTGCAGCTTAATGGTGGTGTGGGATGGTGCGGAGGGAGGGTGAGGGGAGGCCTCGCCTCGGCCCCATTCGAGACCACTGCAGCGTTCATATCATAGCTGTTGATTCAGTGGAGCGCTGCTGCCCGCCCCGGCCGAGGGGAGGTCATGCAGGGGGCAAGCGTGATGGCGGCTTTCCGTTGTCAGCAAAAAAATAAAATAAAAAATAAAATGAAAATAAATGACAAACGCGCATGGAAAGACTGAAAGGCTTGGCGGCACAAAGTGGGCCGGCCTGGGGCGCGCAGGTGGCTGCAGGGATGAACAGGTGGTCGGGGGAGAGATGGATTGATTGGGACTTGGCGCCGCTTGGCGGCGGCGGCCTTGTCCGGGCGCCCCTCCCACACCACTCCCTCTCGACCGGAGCGGAGCAGAGCGGCCGTGGAGGACCGTGCCAGACCAACAATTATCTTTGCCACGGGCGTTTCCACAGCTGAACGAAAAAACACAATGTAAAAAAAAGCACCCTTTTTCGCTTCTCCAGTGTACTTCTCTTCTGGCAGTGTTGGCCACGTAGCTCGAATCGAGTGTCCTGGGATCAAGAGAGCGGGCTGGGCGTTGGCATGGCGGGGCGTGGTAGGGCGTTGGTGCCCCACACGCATCAGTATGCCCACCAACGTCCCACTCGTCTCCGAGGCCGGGCAGGGGAGGGTAAAGGGGTGGGTAAGAAGAAGAAGAAGAAGAAGAAGAAGAAGAAGAAGAAGAAGAAGAAGAAGAAGAAGAAGAAGAAGAAGAAGAAGAGAGGGGTGGAGGAGAAAAAGGCGAGTTTTGAAGGCAGCAGGGCGGCCCGCCGGCGTGGGCCGGGCTATTCACGGCGGCGTGGCTCAAACTCAATTATAGGAGGCGAAATGTTGTTTCCCTCCCAGTGCTCAGGGGCGGCGGCTCGGCTGAGCCTGGCGGAGCTCTCCCCAGGCTGGGTAATGTAAAGAGAGGCAGGTGCGGCAGGTAACGGCGAGGCAAGAGGCGGTGAAACCAAACCTCGAGGACATTCCGGGCCCCTCACGGCTGGCCGCCTCCCCAAGGCTGAGAGCCGCCGCCGGCGTGCACGGCGTGCACTTCCCTCCCCCCTCTCTTTCGGGCACCCAACACCCACCTGTGATCTCCTTCCGCTGGATGTCCACGTACTCCAGCGGTCCGGTGTAGGGCGGGTGCGAGGCGACGCACGTCACCTTCACTTCCCGCGCCTCCTGCCGCTCGTCCAGGGGGTCCATGACGAGCGACAGTGAGGATCCCGATATCGAGGACCCCACGGGCTGCACCCAGGTCACCACCTGGCTCTCGTCCACCTGTGGGCAAGCAAGCAAACGACGCGAATAAATTACTAAATTTGAATGGTAAATGTACGACACCTTCTATGGAACATTTTCCTGTGCCCGGTCCAACAATTTCACACTGGAGCCCGCAAGCGTTCCCTAGATCCAGGGAGCGCTTGCAGGCTCGAGCCTGCTGGAGCGCACTGGAGCCGATACTGGAGCTGATTTGAGCCCACCAGCGCTCATTGGAGGGAGCCCAGGAGCCCGGCAACCCAGCAGCCCCGGCTCCACAGCCATTCCACATATTCCTCATTACGGGCCTTATGCCTACTACTGCCGCCGCGTGCTGCTGCCGCTGCGGCTGCCACCCCGAGCCAGCTCGGTCCCGCACGGCCACGCGGACAAACTTTCCTTATTAGAAAGCAAGTTCGTTTCGGTTGCTTTTCTGCACCCAAAGCAGCAACAGCTATGCCGAGCTGGCAAGCCGGCGCCTATTGTGTTCTCTCTCTTTCTCTCTCTCTCTGTCTCTCTGTCTCTCTCTCTCTCTCCCTCCTTTTCGTGCCCCCTCTCGCTCTCCATAAATCCCCGGCATCTCCACTGCTTTGCTGCGACGATCCGTCATCATCTTGTTGAGAAACTTTGGACTCAAGGACGATGAAAAATGGGCCAAGGCACGTGGTGGTAACGGAGACACCGCGACTGTGTGTGGGTGAGCGCGCGCGAGCGAGAGAGAGAGAGGGGGAGGGAGCGGTGGGTGCAAAGGGAGAAGAGGGGAAGAGGAAAAGTGGAATCTTGAAGGAAGGAAAGGACGGCAAACACGGAACAAAAGAAGGGAAGGAAGAGAGAAGCATCCATGCAAAATAGTGAAGGGTGGAATACCTTAATTTTCTGCAGTTTGTACCTTACGACCCGGAAATCTAAGATGTATGCAGCATGGCAGCTTTATGGACGTTTACTATAACAGAAGTCTGGCGCAGTTTTAACAGAAAATGGAAGGGGAATAACAGTGGCAGTCGCCCCCCTCCCTGTCAGCCCGAGAAAGCCACCTGAGAGGTCGGCAATTCACTGTACAAAAATCGTGTACGCATTACGCAACCCACAGCACTTCACCACCCCCTGTCAGCTGCATAAAACCGCGCCTGGCAGGAGTAAGGGGTCCTCCACACATTACGTCAAGCGCTTAAAAGTACTTTCGTCGGGAGCAGGGACATGTCGTTGCAATTAGTAGGTCCAAGTGCAGGCCAGGGCGGAAGCGGGCTTGGTGAAGGTAAATTAGTAAATTGTCACTTCAGTACCGACACGCATAAGAACGGCGGTAATGACGTATGCGCCTGCAGAAAAATGAGTTCTTCGCACAAGTAAATTTTGCATTTGCCCTTAAGTCCAAAGTGTTTTGTTTTGCCAAATTTGGCACATGCATGATCATGATCTTCTTTAGTCCATGCAAGTCAAACTATGTTTCAAGAACAGCGCATTCCGCTAAAGAAATGTACTCAATATGCCTGTTCTAACACGTACACATAAAAAACGGTTCGTCTTTTCGGGACAAGTTTTTGCCATCATCTAAAGAACACCAAAAATTAGCAGTCTTCTTCTCAAAACGCAAAATATATGCGTTTTTTTGGCATTACGCCTTAAAACGCCGACATTTTGGCGTTCATTTGGGGACGCCAATATTTTAACGTGAAAGACGCTGTCCAGTTGTGAGAGTGTAATAATGTGCTAAGTTTATTGGAGACCACGACATGCTCCGCGCAATTTCACAAAATGAACACAAAATTTTTCGGTCGTGTTGACGAAACGATTTTTAATGGCTTAATGTCAGCCGTTTTTATCTAGGTGTGGTGTGCTTGCAAGTTACGCCTACAAGAGTGCTCTGAACTGTATGCGGTGGTAGGGACAGCATGCATCTCAATGCATGTTGCACGCACATACATCACGCAATGCATGTTATGTTGGGTTTTCAGAGTGTTCGAAGTAGTTAAGTTTGCCATTCTATGCAGGCTTTGTAAACGTTTTGAAGTTTGTGCGCACGGTAAAAACAAAGTCTGACTTTCTGAGGAAAAGGGAAACCCGCGTAATTCGGGGAAAACCCCTCAGATTACCTGAGTAGAGTTTTCTGTTTAATTTTCTCAGAAACAACAGACGTATTATTTTCACCGCGCGCGGTGCACAGCTACCCCGTACCATACCCAGCCCCTCTCCACGCCCACGCTCGGGCTGCGCGCTCTCCGGAGCCCCCTACAATCCCCTTCCTCTTTGACAGGGCGTTCGGTGGCGCCAGTGTGCGACCCCGCTGCAGGCGGCTCCCGTGCGAGGTCCGAAATAGCAGGTTTTATCGAATACCCTCCGGCTGCCAATATTTGTACCACCCGTAGCCCCTGCCCCACCCCACCCCGCCCTGCTTCCGCCAGGCTTGCCCTTGGACCTGCTAACGGCAAGGCGCCCGCCAAAGCCACGTATACACTGCTCCCGACAAAAGAACATCATGGAACAAGAATAAAAAAGGCATTTCCACAAGGAAAAAAAAAATAGGGAGAGGCGTGCGTCTAAGACGCCCCGTATCGACATGAGGCCGAGCGAGCGTCGTGCGGCCCTGCGGCCCCGCCCTTACGCGCCCGGGGGCTCGCGGTCGGCGTGTGTTTGTCTGGGAGCCCCACAGCACTCTCCGCGAGTCCCCGTCTCTCTCGCACGCCGTCGGATGGGGGCTATATGGCCGCACCTTCGTCACCCACCTGTTTGTCCCTTAACAAGATCCTCTGCCGAAGGGCCCCCGCCCGCCATCGGCAGCCTATAGAGAACCCCTTCCTTCCACCTCGACCTCACCAATCGAATCTGACGTCCTCTTAAAAGTACCCTCGACCCGATAGAATTGTATCTATCTGGCAAACCAAAAGAAAACACAAAAAACAACAAAATAAACCCAAACCTGCTCATATATATGATAAACAGCAACGACAAAATATCCTCGCCAAAATACAACTGCTCTGGAAACGCAAGTGTGTGCATGTCGCTCACTTGTAGGTGTGTGAATATCCATTCGTACACTTACGGGGGCAAACGTGTGAATGTTTCCTAAAAAATTCACACGTTTACCCCCCTAAGTATAAGAGTGGATATTCACACACCTGCAAGTGAGCGACATTCACACACTTGCGTTTCCAGTGTGACCATGTAAACGACATCCGCCCTTATACAGTACAAATTCACCAGTGATTCTTAAGTCCCACGTCCAGGGATCATCCAGAAAGTACTCCCGTCATTCGCCGTCACGAACCTGATAAGTTTAGCCTATGCAAGCCCTCATGGCGCCAGCTAGGTAGGCAACATCATGTCTGCGGTGCATGCGTGCACCGCGGGATGGCCTACCCCGAGTCTTGCAGGCGCTGAGCTCCCGTAATTTGCCGAATCAATGTGAGACTAACGGACGTACCTTCCGGACGGTCCCTTGGTTCCCTTGGTCTCGAGGGGTGTGAAACTGAACAAAAAGAGTGCATATGATTGCGTCGCCCCCATGCAAGAAAGTCCGTTCTACGACGGTCGCCCAGAGAATGTCCTATCTACAAGCGTCGTTTGGAGAATGTTCGATCTGCATTAGCCCGGCTGGAGAACGTCCGAAGCAACATTTTTGACTGTTTTGAGATATTGATGCCATTTTACGTATCTCGCTAGGTTACATAAAAGGGCACCAATATCTCAAAGCAGTCGAAAATGTTACTTCGGATGTTCTCCAGCCGGGCTAATGAGATCGGACATTCTCCAAACGACGCTTGTAGATCGGACATTCTCTGGGCGACCGTCGTAGAACGGACTTTCTTGCATGGGGGCGACGATTGCGTCTAGACAATCATTGTTTCAGATTGTGTATGGTTGTGTAGATGATTGTCTCTGAATCTTTCAGATTGCTAATTCTGAGTCATATTTTGGAAAATTGTGTCAAATTGTGACTTGATTGCCACACCCCTCGCTTAGTCCGTGTATAAGCCACGGCGTAATTTTTAGGAAAGAACAAGGAAATTGCACGAAATAATCTTTGTAACTAACTATTTGCAATCCATGTAATCCAACTCCATTCAAGTAATCTTGTCTGTACGTTCAAAATGTAGTGGTGGCCCCCTCGAATATTTCACCCGTCAGCATTTGCATTAGGCCAGGGGGGAGGGGGGGGGATACTCACAGGGATGTCGTCTAGCAGCCAGGTGATGGCGGGCGGCGGGTGGCCGTCCACCGAGGTGCAGTTGGCGCTGACCCTCTGGCCGGGCGCGTAGTCCGTGTCCAGCCCGGTCACCTTGGGCGGGCTGCGCTGCGGCTCTGAAACAGGTGGGGCGCCACAGTTACCGTCCGGTCCAAACGCACATGAACCCCGCGTTGGACCACACGCATTTCCTGTCTCTAACAGC